AAGTAATGGGTTCCATGGCAATAAGGGAATTAATGGTTAAATAAATGCATAGCTAGCACAGCTGTATCTAGACCTGATCATTTCTTAAGCATCTATGTACATATATAGATAGTATAATAATCATGATTCAGACTTACCTGAGTGAAGACCACGTCATTGTTTACTTCCTTCCTTCAATTAGGGTAATCATGGCATCGAAGAACCCATCCTGGTTATCCAGATGTATTCCATTGGCCAGAGGACACGTCAGCGGTTGAAGGGTAATCATCAGATCACTGCCACTATCACTTTCGATGTTAACACTAGGTACCCCTAGGACAGACTGAGCTCGCGGCGATCGAAGTACCTCTATTTATACTTCCCGAGTCAAGAGAACAGAGAAAGTAAGAGCGAGAGAGTAAGCGAGAGGCAGAGACAGCTACAGAGAAGGAGTTAACATAGCTCTGGAGATGTACAGTGGGAGTTGGACATTCCGAATAACATAGTGATCGAGAGTGATAGAGAGGGAGGGCTGTTGATGCTAATGTTAGGAAATGTTGCAAGCTTCTGGCTATAATTTTAATATTAAATATATTTTATTAATATATAAATAATAAACTTTTCGATTGTGAATATCAGCTCCTACTGTTGATTCCTTACATGTATTGTTTTTAATAATTGCACTTATTTTTCCTTGCTCTCAGCTTAAATTTTATAAACAAATGCAAAACGGGGTTTTAAGTTACATTTTATTATAATGTAATAAAAGTTGGTGCCAAAGTCAGTTTTGAAGTCATCGAAAGAATAAGGAATCAATATCTTTAAGCAATATATTATTAAATTAGGCTGTAAACATTTGTAGGTAACCCGAACACAAATTTGCTGAATCACTTTAAAATGTAATTAAGTAATGGGATCCAGATCAATAAGAATATTAATTGGGAAACAAATGCATAGCTAGCACAGATGAATCTAGACCATGGCCTGATCTCTCCTTTAGGATCAACACATATAAATAATATAATAGTCATGATTAAGACTTACCTCGGTGAAGGCCACGTCATTGTTTACTTCCTTCCTTCAATTAGGGTAATCATGGCATCGAAGATCCCATTCTGGTTATCCAGATGCATTCCATTGGCCAGAGGACACGTCAGCGGTTGAAGGGTAATCATCAGATCACTGCCACTATCACTTTCGATGTTAACACTAGGTACCCCTAGGGCAGACTGAGCTCGCGGCGATCGAAGTGCCTCTATTTATACTTCCCGAGTCAAGAGAACAGAGAAAGTGAGAGCGAGAGAGTAAGCGAGAGGCAGAGACAGCTACAGAGGAAGAGTTAACATGGCTCTGGAGATGTACAGTGGGAGTTGGACATTCCCAATAACAGAGTGATCGAGAGTGGGAGAGAGGGAGGGAGGGGGAGGGAGGGAGGGCTGTTGATGCTGATGTTAGGAAATGTTGCAAGCTTCTGACTATAATTTTAATATTATATTTATTTTATTAATATATGAATAATAAACTTTTCGATTGTGAATATCATCAGGTCCTACTGTTGATTCCTTACATGTATTGATTTTAATAATTGCACTTATTTTTCCTTGCTCTCAGCTTAAATTTTTATAAACAAATGCAAAGCGGGGTTTTAAGTTAAATTTTAAATGTTACCTCTTATAAAATGTTAAGCAAAATATGCAGTTAAAATTGTTCTCAAATTTTATTTTCATTACTTTATTTTTTATCAATTAAGATTTGAATTGTAAATATAAATATATATGCTTTCTCGCAATCATTGGCCACAAGAAAACCTAAAATAGGTTTATTCCAGGTATATTAAATCAATATTTTTATATGCTTATTCTTGGGTAAATCAAAGTTTTTCAAAGATCATAATTTATCCAAAAATGCATTCATTTCAAATGCAAGCTGTGAATGTAAACTGTAAATATAATATGTATAAGTGAATGAAATGAAAGCGGGGATTACATAATTGTTTTGAGCTTCCTTTCTTGTTGTGCTTAATGGACACAATTTTATTTTGATAAAAATGATATCAAATTTTGATAGAATTAAATATTGTGATCCCATAAAAACACGCATTAATTTAGTGTACACAGAGTCATCAATTTTTATTTAACACAATAAACAAAATTTATGGTACATTACATTCATATACAAATACAATATAAATACAATAATGCCAGTTTTTTGCCTTACACTATATATAATTGTAACTATTTGTTGTTGCTTAATGGGAAATGAAATGATTGCATATTCATTTCACATCCCTAGTTTTTGTTTGTTTGTGTGGCTTTGGCGGCTAGTAAATACCCTACATTTAAGCGGGCCATTACAAAAAAAATTCCCTTATATCCTATATAATATTTAAAATTTTTCTCAACTAGATTTTGTTTCCGTTTAGCTTTGTTCGAAAAAATGTCACTTTCGGTTCATTTCTTTTTCTAAATTCAAATATTGTTCAATTCCACAACTGTGCTAGGAATGCAGTAGGATATATAGTACATTTGCAATTATAATTATATATATAATATATATACATAAGTATATACTTTTATATATGCATATGTATATATATATAATTTATATTAGTTAGTTTCTTATATATAATTATAAGTTTCATTAATTAATCTTAGCTTATACTCAAATTCAAGCAAATTTAGAAAACATTTTGTTGTTAAGGCAAATACAAAAAGTGTATGTAAAAATATTTAAAAGGATAATCAAAATATAATTTATAATAATATTTTACTTATATTTAATATGTAAAAATATTAAACGATTTTTGTAAAATTCTTCCATTTTTAATTATCATTAAAAACTTGTGTCATAACTAAAGCTCTTACAATGCGAAACAATTTGCTAACTTAGAATATAATACGCTTTAATACGCTTAAATTAAAGTAATAAATGTTTTTGGTTTTAAAAAAAGATGCTTGAATCCTGGTTGAATAACTTAATTAGCATAAATGAATCGCTCAAAAGGATTAAAGGACTTACATATACATATGCAAATGGGATTCATATTCAATTGAGCTTTGCTAGTACAACAGATTAGCACTATATTATAAATTTCAAATAGAATTACTATTTGAATGTTTACACTTAATGGCTATTAAAAATTTCAGACATCCTTGTGCTACTCCTTTCTTTTTTTCCATGCAATTTATTTGAATTGAAAACAATTAGTTATCAAAAATGTTCAATGTAATTATATGAGAGAGAGATAGGGGAATCCCTTCCATTTCCCTGTGGCAAATCTCTTATGTTCAATCAACTCTGGTCATGTAATTTAATTATTTGAATTTTGTGGCTGCCAGCGGACTTCCTTAATTATAAAATTCTGCTATTAAACGCTTAATTACTAAATGACACGCACATGTACATGCAATACAAAAAAAGGAAGGGTTCTACACATTGTTACAGGAACTACTTTGTCCATTAACGTGAATCCATTTAATCCTACTCATTATTTTAATTTGTATGCATTTTTTTATTGCCAATCATCGATAACTGTCAAAGGGAATACAGAGTATCTTCTTCAGCGCTTTTAATAATAATTAAAATCATTTTCGTTTTCAACAATTGGATTGTAAGCTTGACTTTCTTTTTATAAAATTTCATCGTCCATTATTTATATATTTCCAATTTATAATTTAAGTTAACACTGTGTTTTGGTTTAGTTTCAAATGAAAACAATATAAAAAAATATCTTGTCTATGCATTTACATTAATGTTTGCTTACTATATTAAAAATAAAAATCAACAGAAAAACAACAAATCACATTTTGAAATTCGGAAAATTATATTCTCCTTAATATAGACATAAATTTATGTATAAATTTGAAATATTTAAATATATAGTTAACTTATGAATTTACATGCGCCGCATTTTATCTTTGTTTCACTTAATATTTGTTAGTTTTAAATTCACATTTCCAAGTTTTGTTTTAGGAAATCGCCTTCAAAAATGATGTGACGACCTCCAAAGCAATTCATTTCCAGGAGCTGTAAATAGAAAATAAGATTTTTATAAACAAATTAGAAAGAAAAATATATTTAATATATTTTTATGTAAAATAATACTTAAAACTAGAAATTTAGCTAACTTCAGCACGTCGAATTTTGTATAACATTATATTTATATTTCGTTAAATTATATCTTTATGTTTAATGAAACAATGAAATAATGCCTGCTTTCATTATATTCACCGTTTTGCATTTTTCTTTATTTTTAACGATCGTCTGTATGTAGCTATATGATTTATTAGTCCGATTTTCATAAAATTGTACCCAAATTTCTAGATTAATATATAATGACTATATATTAAATTTGATGAAAATCTGTTGAAAACTGCAAATATTATAGTTTTTTCCTTAAATTTTCCGATCGGTTCTATGGCAGCTATATATCTATATATATATATAGTCCACCGATTTGCCATGCTCCGACTAATATACTAGTAAAATTATACAAAAGAATAATCCCATTGTTTCATTCAAATAGCTTGCTGTTAAATTCATTCCAAACATATCTCGCACATCTGTGCATATGATTCCCAACTTGTTCTAACATCCCCCGAACGAAGTGTCTTCTACCAGACAAGTCTCGGATACGTGTTGTGTTATAAAAGTTGCAAGTCATTGTTTATTAGTGTTCAAAGTTACTGATCATACTGTTCAGAGTTACTTACTGGTTATAGATACTTACTGATCAAAGATATTTACTGGTCAAAGATACTTACTGGTCATAGACACTTACTAATCAGAGTTAATTACTGCTCATAGTTATTTCTTGATCTTAGTTACTTAATGTTCATTTATACTTACTGATCATTGTTACTTACTGGTCATAGATACTTACTGATCATTGGTACTTAGTGATCATAGCTACTTAATGTTTATATACACTTACTGATCATAGTAAATTACTGATCGTAGTAACTTACTTTTGAAAATAAAATATTAAGGCACGGTCCACCTAGGATCCCAGACTTACCCTCTTAGAGCATTTCAACATTGGACGTTCCGTTGCCGGTTGCAGTTCGCGTGGTCTTGGTCATCTGCTGATTGGTCATCAGAGGAGGCGGGCTACCACACCAAACCACCTGGATAATTGTTATTTAAAAGATTATTATTTCAAAATTTATTATTTATATAAAGAGTCACGAAGAAGTGCGCTCACCTTGCGGAAAGCCTTGCGGAAGTTGTCGGACAGGAAGGCGTAGAGTATCGGATTGATGCAGGAATTAGTGTAGGCCACCACATGCGAAATGATCTGGATGATGACCGACAGATGACTTGCCCATAAAGATTTAGGGCCTTCAACACAAGTATAACCTAAAGGAATAATAGACGACAAAACATGAAGTAAAACATGGAAATAATAGTAAAAATGTTTCTCTTAAAGTGCCCCAAAATTGTCTCTGTCCCTCTTTTACTCCAGCTCCCATTTTCTCCCTGTCTCTCTCGCTCCCTCTCTCCCTCTTTACATCTTTACCTCTATCATATTCAGTACGTCTCTCTCTGTGTATCTGGAGAAATTTCTCTTTCTCTCAAACTCTCTCTGCTCATCTCTAGAGATAGCTGCTGCTCGCTCGCTCTCACTTTCTCTTTTCTCTTTACTTGGAGAGTATAAATAGAGGCACTGCTGTCGCTCTGCCCTCAATCTGCCCGTGGCCTCCCCGCTGTCTACATCTCTAGTGATTAGTGATAGTTATTGTCCTTCGACCCCAAATATATCACCTGAGCAGTGCAATACATTTCGATAACCAGGAAGATGCTCACTTCATGAAATACCCCTGCAGGGTACTATAATTATTATAAAGTAAAGGATCTATTTAATATTTTGCATATATTAATGTACAAATATATATCAATTAATGTTCCAATAAGATATATATGAATAACAAAATATAGCCTTCTCATTTAAATATACATGTCTTTTGGATGCTGGCCATATGCTGGCATTGATAAATGCAATTCTGCTCTTCTTCTGCACATCAAGTAAGTGTCTGATTGTGTAATTGTAATTTCGTTTGTAATTTGCGAGCACATTGATTTTGTGCAAATACTTTTGAAGGATGCAAAAGAAGCAAGGAAGCGATTGCAGCAGCTGCTGTTCGTCCTTTTGCTGGCTTATTAAACATTTCAGAAAATAAATTGCGATTGACCGGAAACGGAAATGTCAATTTATCGCCACTGTTTGCCAGCACATTCAAAGGCAGCTGTTGCTGGCTGCCAAGTGAAGCCTCTTGAAATGTAAGTAAAACTTTAAGTAAATAGAATATATATATTAAATGTATATATATATCGAATTATCGACTAAAAAACGGTATTATAATTTTAGTCAGAAGCTCGAAACGTAGTGAAGGAGTCATTTCCGACCCCATAAATCATATATATTCTTGATCAGCATAAACAGGCAAATCTTTCTAGGTATAAAAAAGAGAAACAAATTTTTGAAAATTTTTTTTTCTATTTTTTTAAGCGGTTTTTTCATTGTCATAGGTAATTATAAATTTATACCTATGACAACCTAAACAACAGTTTAACTCATAACTTTAACATAACTCATAACATTTAACATTAACTTTATACTTACATGAATTGGCAGCCAACAAATGGCAAAGGCCAGAACGACAACAACAACCATTCGGGTGACGCGTCGCTTTCCCTTGCTGCAATAAAAAAAAAGAAAACCAATCCATAAAGTTAGTCAGGAAAATATATAGAGATAGTTCATAGTTGTGGTTATTCAAATATATGTTTGTACTATATGCATTGAATATAAATTATGCTGCAAATCCCTGCTCTTTGATTTATGAACTTTGCGTGCATATTGCAACTTCATTTCCATTCAAGTTTAAAACGCAGCCTATGTCCAATCCCTGTCAAATATTTACATACATAAATATATACTGATATATATGGATATATAGATTCTGGATAGTGTGTGAAATATATGACTGTCACTCTCAGTAAATATGTGCACATTAAAGCTGTTCGAAAACTAATTTTATGCCATTTGTTTTATGGCCTCTTCTATTTATTTTCATTTTCAGTTTCGAATTTTATTTATTTGTTTAAAAAGTAAAGTGAAATCTGCAAAAATATTGGCATTTTAGGGGAATCTGTTTAAATTGGTTTTATTGCATTTAAAAATAAATTATTCTAAAATTATTCAGCTTAATAATACATTTCAGGAAACTATTTAACATTAACCAAAATGTTTACTTAATTTTACTTCCTTGGCATTTTATTTAGTTTATATATTTAAGAACTAAAACTTCTCCAAAGACTTTAAGGGAAAATGATTAAGTAGAATTTAATAGTACTTCATTTTCGCTGAAACCAAAGTTTGCCAAAGTAAATTAAAAGTATTCCCAAGCTCAGACTTTAAGCACTGCAATTGAGTTTATGCGAAAGGAGGTTTAAAGTTTAAAGTTAATAAAAGTTTAACTTGAATTTAATGGTCGGTTATCCTAAGCACGTAAGGGAAAGTTTCCTGTTTTCCTAGTTTTCTGTAAAGTTAAATTTAAGTTCGTCAGGATTCGTTTAGCTACAAATTTAAAGATAAAATGTTGTTGATAAATATTTAAAGAAAATTTTAGAAAATATTAATAGAAAATATTAAAAATAATAAAATTGACCTCGTCCCATTTCATTTTCTAGACTGCCTGCCACTGGACTTTACTCGATTCCTTCGATAGAATATTCCTCAAATTTGTACTGACGATGCCTTTCAGTTTCGTTGACCCCTCGACTACTTAAAAATGCATGAGGAAAACCCCATGAGTTTTCCTTTACCAGCCTAATAAAAAGACATGAATCATGGTCCACACGAGCAGAAACAGAAGGAGAATCAATAGCAGCAGGTGCCAGGAAAATGTTCCTCCCTCGGGTACACAGTGCGTATACTTAATTTCTGTTTTTATATATATTTATTTTTGTTTTTTTTTACTAACCGTGACTCGGCAGAAGGTTTGCAGCCTGGAGCACTTTTCCACAGACGAGCCAGCATTCCGATGTAAAGGAAGCAAATCAGCGTCAAAGGTGCCACATACGATGACAAAAAGAATGAGACCTGGAAAAAAGGAAATATATATGAGGATACCTGATTATGAATTCATTTGTTAGTGAAAAAGGAATTCTTAAATCATAGAAATTCTTAAAACTAGGGAACATATTTTAGAATATTTAAAGTTCCAGTTTACAAAGAAAATCTCAGGAAATCGTTTAAATTAAATTAGAGTAAAGAAGATTAAGATTATATTTTACATAATATATGATTGTGTTTTTCGAAGGTAGGTTGCCTATTCAGTGGTCTATTTCAGCAAATTAAATTGTTTTGTAAAGTATTTATATTCTTTTTAAATTTCCATTAAATATTTCGTTTTTTAACCAACTTTAATTGAAATATATTCATACATAGTTAATGCTGGGCACTTATTCCCTTTGCCACCATCATAATAACTTTGCTGCTTATCATTTTCTGTGTCCGGTCGAAGGTCTTTTCCTCTGCCATCTGCTGCCATGTCAGCAGCGGCTTTTGTTTTTTGTGTTTTTGCATGAAAATTGTGAAAATCGCTGACCCGTAATGCTGACCAGATACCAGAAATGAGTGCCAGACACCTCTCAAGTCCCCTCCCGAAACTATCCTTCCATTTGTATCTATGGAAAAGGGATATCCATTGCATCCTCTTCACTTCAACAGCTGCCGCTCACCCATAGTCCTGAGAGACACGAATGAATATAGTTTGCATATATGTATATATATATAGCCTTGAAATATGTCTGTAAAAAGATAATGAGGAAAAATTCACATACTTGTGCCAAACTATTTATCCTTTTTTTTGGGGAGAGATTTGCTTGGGGTTTATTCATAAAATTAACTAATGAATCCTTAAGCATATTTCTACTAAAAGGATATTGACTGTATTTTAGTTTGAACTAAAAATAAATTTATATATATTTTTAATATATTTATAATTACATTTAGAACCCACTGCCTAAAGAATTTTGTTTAAAAAGGTAATGTAAAATGAATGAAAGCTTCAATAAATTTGTATTTAATGTTTAAATATAGCTTTTAAGCCAATTCACTGGAAAATAACTTTATTATTCGCAGTAATTTTACGGTTTAAGCCGACCTTCTGCATTGTTAAGACCATTGGCCTTTTTTTTAAACTTTCAAGAGCTGCCTGAGTTTTGGTATTTAAAATATTTTTAAACTGAGGAATTGCGGTCCAAGTGGTACCTTCTCGTCCAGCTTCAGGCCTAAAATTCATTTGGTGCCTCAACTTTCGAGGGGACTCGATTTTTCTTTGATTGCGCCTGCGGTTGGGTGGCTGCCATCAGCCAAGTGTAAATGATTAAGGGGATTCCCTCCTGCCGGAAAAGTGGAAAACGTGGAAAAGCGGAAAGCAGGCAATAAAAACAATAAAACACACACACGGCAGATCGAAATATGCACAAAGGTGCAAGTCAAAATAATATATTACATCAGTTGTGAGCCGCCAAATAAAGGCAATGAAACGGAAAAGGTGGAAAGTGTGGTTCACCGGGAGGACATTCCGCAATTGTTAATAATCGTTGCCACGCCCTTCGCATTCATATTCTGGGGGCGGAAGAGGCGCTGCGAATGCCTGACAGTCATGGCATCGAAATCACTTTGTTGGGATTATCCGTCCATGGCCAATGAACACGTCGTTTGTTATCGACACCGAACAAGGCAAGGACAACGCGTCGAGAAGGAGTGACGTAATCCATCCTGACACATCAACAGATCCATATCTGTATTCGAATACGAAGGGAAGTCCTGGGGCTTTATATTCAGATCTGGGGTTAATAAAGCTGCTTCAGTTGGTAATTATGAAGGTGTATTTCAGCATAACTCATTTAAATGCTTTACGAATCAAACATTTAAATTATTAAAGAACATTGAATTTTCGATGGATAAACCCTGAAATATTTTATATGATATCTTCAGACACTTACAACGATCTCAGCTGCTTTCATAATCAAATTGTCTTCATAATAATTATAAAGAAAATAAAAGTTTAAGTTATTATTGTGTTTCTTTGGTAAATTCCGAATTTTGAAGTGATTTAAAGATACCAATGACCCAAAACGAGGTCAAACTGTAGTATATCCTAATATCTTTAGTTGGGAGACTATAAGGATCCTTTGTTTTTGGATGGTTATAAAAATAAAAAATATACACAGAATCGATAGATACACATAGTGCATGGACTGGCCATGAAATTTAACAACACAATCGTCATAAATAAAAGTTGCCCAACTTGAGAGAGAAACTTCTTCTTTTCTTTTACATTTTGTTGTTATTTTCACCCCTCCGTTCAAACTTTATGCGGATGCTAATAAAAAGCCATAAACTGAAGTGTGTGCCATGTGATAAATGGTGGGGGAAGGCCTTCCAAGGGGCAAGTACTCTTAATACTCCGCCTGACCCAAAAAATTGCTCCTGGGATTTGTCCATAAACGAGGAGTCTCTTCAGACACTCAGCGAAATGAATGAAATTGCCGCAGGAGTTTGACATCTTGATGAGGTAACATTACCCTCTCTTCGTGTGAAAATGATTGAAATTATGAATTGACTTGAAAATTTAAGGATTATACAAACAGTTTTAATATATATTATAGTAGGACAGTTGGCACAAAATAAGCTTTCATTTTACATTATAATAGTGTTTTCCTAAATTGTATCTTTTACAAAATATATTCGTCTTTGGGTAAAATACATTTGTGTATATTTTATAGCGTTCCCTTAGTAGCAGTTGTAATTAATAGGCATCGATAATTATTATGGATCAGGATCACATGAAGAATGCAATCAGTGTTTATATTTTTGAAGTAGTTCTTGAAGACATTATTCCGGTTCGATCTCCTGCGTTCTCTGTGCATCCTTACAGCCGAAGCAGCTGCCGTAGTGGCTGACCTTCAAAAATGTACAAGGACCAGATTCAGATGTCCTTCAACATTTGTGAAGCCAGCCAGGCATACGGTTGCTGCCGGCAGGAATCAGTCTCCATCTGGATTTGCTTGCCTGGAAGAACTGCATGTGTTCGGTGTCCCAGTACCAAGATGACATAAACCTGCACACACCGTTCTTTGGCCAGCTGCTTAGCAACATTTGAGGAGACTTCACAACTTGGGATTCAGCTCCATCAAGGTAGGAACCATCACTTCCATCCATCCCAAGGAAGGTAATCCAAAGTGTAGGGTTTTTCGTTTATCCAAGGATTGAGCCATCATCAACCGGTATGGGTTTAACAGAGGAAGTCACCAGGTGGTGCTCCAGGAGCTGCTCAATAACCACAGCAAGGAGATCGTCAATGGCATACTGGGGGTCAATCTGGGTCGAAACAAATCCCCCTAAAACCATGTGCAGGGTGTGCGAATGTTCGGTCCCGTGGCTGATTACCTTGTTATCAATGAGAGGAGACCCAATACCAAAGACCTCCTCTAAATGCAGAGTAAGTAGGAGCTAAAGGAACTGATTGAAAAGTTTACCTGTTACGCGGTCGAATGTGGAGCAAAAACCAAAATCTTCTTGAAACTCTCACCCGACCTGCCTCTGGACGACATGAAGGACATCGTTTGGGTGATACAAGAGCAAGCTCAGCCAAGTGAATACTCCGATGGTGTCCAACAGGATGGTGTCTTGTATGGAATGTGGACTCCAATGAACTGGCCTCGAAGGAGGGAGGATTGAGGGGTCCCCCAGCTCAAGGCCCGTTCAAGGGTGATGATCGCCCAAATGTATGTATTTAGATGTAGAAGTGTTATGTGAATGAATACTTTTGTGTCGCCTACTTTCCTGGTTAAAATACTTTCTCACATTTTTTCTATGACTACTTTTCCAGGTACTTGGGTTTCCTAGTATTTCACATGTCCCTACAAGTTGTCCTCACGTTTCGAAGGGAATGTATAAACTGGGCTGGATTCGCTGGTAAAGTAATATGAAAGTCGACTTGAAACTTACCTGAAAACCGACCAGACTCCACACTTCCTCCTCTGTGGAAAAGACGCAAGCTGTCCCGGCATTTCCATGATACTGATAGATTCGCACCGAGTGTGAAAGAGCCACTGGAATGGCGGTGGTGACGATTGTTATCCAGGCACACATGATGGCTCTGCAAATAAATAATATATATCTTTATAAAACTATGTTAAGCAAAGCTTTAATATTTTCCAATAGTCTTTTTTCTGCTTTTAAGCTTAATTTACATTTTATAAATTTCTTAACCCACCGGATAAGTTTTTTAATCAAAAAAGTTTGTACTTGGACAAGAACAAATTCAAAAAGATTGCTCGACAGTTTTTGTGGGTTTTAATTTCTGAAAAGTTATTCTTAGATGACCTTAAAAAATGTGCCATAAAATTTGATGGAAACTTTTTTAAGGCTGCAAGACGAAAAGGCTTTCATTGAGGTTGATTTCCTTAAAGACTTGAGGTATGCGAGACTTAAATGTGCTATCTTTGGCTCAAAGGCAGAGGTCACAGGTTGGTAAGCAAGGCAAACTAATTGTAAAGGACAAATTGATGCAATTACTCTAGATGATATGGGGAAGGATATGGAAAAGGAGCTGTTCCACTTGCAGAAAAATTGTTGGGTTACAGTTATAGCTATATTTTTGATATTAAAGGTCAGATTTTGATAACCGAATTCAAAGGCATCTAAGGTATATACTGTCTAATCTTTTCTCAAATTATTCGAAGCAATCAGACATACTTGTTGAAGTATTCAGAATTTTTTTCGGGAAGTGTAAGGTATAGGTATAGAGAGGACTTACAGTGTGGCATTGCGCTCGGTTCGCAAGGACATGCTCGTCACGGGATGAACCACGGCCAGGAAGCGATCAAAGGACATCAGTACCAGTGTGTAGACACTGCAGGTTCGTAGTGATTAGGTGTGGCTATAATTTAATATACTATATAATGCGATATATCCTAACTTACCTGCAGTGGCAGGTGACCACAATCATGTACTGGACGAACTTGCACCAAACATTGCCGAATGGCCACTCCGGCAGGACATAGTCGGTGGCCGTGAAGGGTACGCAGAAGATGACGAACAGGATGTCCGAGACGGCCAGGTTAATAATCAGCAAGTTGGTGGTTGAACGCATCTGTTGGTTGGCCACAACCACTGGAAGAATATTCAATTTAAATATAATATAGTATAAAATATATATTTAATATATATCAATGTATGAACATAGCTTGAGTGAGCTGGAAACTCTAAGGAATTCCTCATCTTAAGGATCTTGCTGCCATGACAATACTTGCTTTTACTTACTGCTTTGTACTATTTGACCCCCATTTTCTACCTCTATTCTATCAGGCTCCTCCTGCCCTTTTTTAAAGCTTTTCCTTGTCCCCTGGAAAACCTCCATTCTTGGTTTTGGCCCTACAAGTTTTTCTTTTCCCTCAATTACGCGGACAAAAGGCAGCAAACAACGAGGACTTTTCTACTGGTTGTACTAGTGGTGTGTGTACTGAGAGAAATTATTGAACAATTACAAAATATCCATAATATTTGGTATAATATAATAATATAAGAAGGGATATGTAACCTATATTTCTTTTTATTTTTATTATAAATAGTTTTATGCTAAGTTTCAAGTATATTTACATGGAACTCAAATATTTCTTTTCAGTGTTTAAGAGCTGTAAAAAGTCAAGCAAGGAAAATACAAGAAAAACAGGAGTCTGCCATTGTTGCCGCTTTCTGCTTTCACTTTTTGACCCTCTGTCTTCGAGCTTTCCCTGACCCTTACCCTTAGCCTTATCCACCTTCTCTGTCTCTTTATGTGTGTACTCTACACTCAGTCCTCTTTTTATATATTTTATTTTTCTTGTCCATTTTTATATATTTTATTTTTCTTGTCCACTTGCAATTAGCCAACAATTTATGTCGCTCCTTACAAAAGAAGCGTGACAAAGGAACAGAAGAAACAAAAATATATATAGAAAAAAAATAGAAGAAAGAAGTTGTCCTGCAACAAAATGTTATTTTGGTCCAGAAAAAGATGCCATGAGTTGATGGCAATGGATTGATGTGGGCCACGAAGCCAAAGGAAGTTTCAAACTCTAAAAGTCAGCAATCATTTAAGGAGAAAGTGAAAAATTGAGAGGTGAAATGGGGGAAATTCAGGTGCTAAAGTCAACGGAAAGAGGAAATGTCCCGAGGCACACTTAAATCAAATATGTTCAAGTTTAAGAAAAAATTAAAAAAAGAAACTATTAGTGTAAAAATTATATAAGAAAGGAAGTTAATTTCGGTAAGGAAAACTTTATATTCCCCTGCCAAAAATGTATCATTACTAAGTTAAAAAAGCATTAATTAGTGGATTATTTAAGTCTATATAATTATATGGAATTTTGTTGGCAAGCCAAATCTTAAAAATGTCATAACTCAGCCAAAAATGAATTAATTTCAATTCGGAAAGCGTTTCTATGTTAGTTTTTATTAGTTTAATAAATCTGTATACTCAATTTAGTATTTTAAAAATTTAATTTTTTATAATTTTTTTGTGTTAATTTTAACGATTTAACCCCTTATAAAAATTTGAAATAATTTGAAAATTTTTATTTTCTATTGGACATAGCTAGATCGATTCAGCTTTTGATGCTGATCAAGAATATATATGATTTATAGGGTCGGAAATGATTCCTTCACTGTTCAATCAACTTTTGACTAAAATTATAATACCCAAAAAGGAGAGAAATATGGACCTTATTTCCCTCATTTGTGAACTGGCTTCTTATTTTCTTTCCCTTTTTTTATGAGTGCAAAAGTACTTACAGCCAGGTGAGGCCGCAAATCAATTTCCGTTTCAAATATATATTTAGCACAGGAAGTTTCAAGGTAAACAAAAAGAGCAAACCCCTAGGAAATAGGCAGAACGAACAAAAAGCAATGGAGTAATAAACAGCGGCAGGAATATGAAAAGGAATATTAATGGGAATGGCAACTATAATAACAATAAATAAATAGCAATACAGATAAAAAGGATACCTATTTCTGTACATATAGATAGTATATATTCAGAAACAAATATTTGGTTCACCGGCAACCCATTTTAACCCTTGCCAAAATGTTATCTTGGGGCTTTCGATGTTTATTGCATCAGTCAGCTGGTAGAATAGTTTTTTGGCAACAGATTGTTGGCCAATTGTTGCCACTTTGGCATTTGTTTCCAGTTTCCTGTTTGTCTGGATTGCTTAACTTTTGCTTAAATTCATAAAATGCATAATACAAATACTTAAATAAATAATAAAACCATTTAACCTAGGGAACTCATACATTTATGATGATTAGTCTAGGTTTTAAGATATTACTACTACGTCTTTAATTATCGATTTTTTCCACATCGTTAGTAATTTAAAGGGTTTCTTTTGTTTTAAATATGGCCCATTTGCCAACATTAAGTCTGGCTTTATTTTATCAATTATAGAAAAATAAAGAAATGCGACTAAAAAATCATTTGTTCCCTGTGGTTAACCAACTTTTTGTGGCCGCAATATTCACACACACAAAGAGTACTGCAAAAAAGGGTTCAAAAGGAAATCTGCATTTTTGTTGGGACATTAACTTTTTCCCCACCATTAAAGAACAAAGTGTGCCAGTTTTTGTTTCTCTCCGCCTCTTGTCTAGCTGGCATTTTACAAAATAATAAAGAGTGGCATAATTTATGGGCCAAAGGTATAAAGTGCCTCTTCCATCCCAACAAAAACGCCTCTTATTTAATGCTTACAAAAAAATAGGAGTCCTGACTGAGGCAGATTACATATAAACAAATAATCTGGCATCCATGTGTTGCCAGTGTGTGGGTGTGTCCTAGACAGGATTTCCTGTTTACTCGCATCTGAGGGGCATAAATTCACTTTTATTGAACTTTAATGTCACTCTAATGCCTGCCCATTTCCTCTGGCATCGTCAGTACTCCTTTGCCTGATCCTGTTTGTCCTCTTCTCGCCTCCTTATTTTAGCCTGTAATTGATGCACTTCACAAGGGTGTGCTGGGTTCCACATGGCGTATACGTAATCTGAACCTTATTTAGGAGCAAAAAGTAAAGAGTTTTTGCATAATAACAATGTGTAATTTTTTAAAAAGTGTTTAAGCTCATTGCTATATGTTATTTTAACATATATACTTATATAAATACATTTTATTCTCCTTTTATGTATTTCCACATGGCGTATACGTAATCTGCACCTTAAAAGTAAAGAGTTTCTGTATTTTAACTCTGCGTTTGTTTTTAATTTCTTTGAAAATGTTTCGGCTCATTTCTATATGTTATTTTAACATATAAATTTATATAACTGCATCATATTTATTCGTCTTTTTATATATTTCCACATGGCGTATACGTAATCTGAACCTTATTTAATACCAAAAAGTAAAGAGTTTTTGAATTTTAATAAGGTGCTTGTTTAAAATTTTTAGAATGTGCTTAAATCATCATTAATTAACCCTTAATACTGTGATTTCTTGCCATACAAACAAAAATAATTATAAGAGCCTATAAACATCACAATCTCTTCAACAAGAACTTAACCATTTTTACGACAATTAAAACCATTGCTCATTAACTCAGAAATATCAGTGGCATAATTTTAATTCCATTGAATTTTATTCACAATTAAAATGTACAGTATTACAGACTTAGAGCTACTCCGATATTTGGCAAGGCTTTTGTTTTATGATCCAATTAAAGGCGGCCTTAGGTTCCTTTCCTGCTTAGTCCTTGGGTCATTAAGTGCATAAATGATTGCCATGCAGGAATATAGGAATTTTGGGCCTTGCAGTTGCCAGGAAAATCCCGTACAGTTGCTGCCTCTTAACTATGGCAATTAATTTAAAATTTAATGCACAGCAAACAGAGAGGCAGAGAGGTAGAGAAGCATCCTGTTTTGGCACATGAATATCCGGTTACAAGGGACCGAACCAAACCGGACAGAGCCTTTGTCCACTGTCCATTGTCCTTTTCTCGGCAATCTTCAGACTTCTGCCAGCCTTCATTATATCTGTTTCGCTTTCCTTTCCTTTATTTGCATCATTTGCCAGCCTATACAAACACAATTTTAATGTCTGCAAGCAGAAATCAGTGGAAAGTCCTGGGAAATCAAGAAGAACGAAGGATATTTTCCAGGGTCTACTTCGTTTTAAGAAGATTCAGTTCTATTTATAATGTAAGAAAAAGTTAATTTTCTTAATATTAATTCTAAATTGTAATTAAAAGGTCTACTAAAGTCAAAAATAACTTTTAAATATTAATTTAAAGCATCTGCAACTCTGGCATACCCTGTAATAGACCCAAGAAACTTTACCTCTGAAAGAGATAAAACAGATATTTTATCTTAACAAGGGTACTTTACCCTTTCACAAGGACAACAATAGCGACGGCATCAAAAAATTACCATTTACATTATTTATATTATATTAAATTTAGATATATATTTGGGACAACATTACCATTGATAAATAAACGCGAATCAATCAATCAGGGAGGCTGTCAGACAATCACACCGTAATAAATAAATAAATAAAATAATGAATGTAATTGCATTAAATAGTTATTTAAGTTTTACATTAAATAACCCAATTAAATTATGAACTAAAATATATATAAAGGAATATATAACATACTTTATGAGCTATATTTTTGTAGAGAAAAGTAAATATTTTGTACAGTGCAGTGGAAGTGACAGTTATTCATAGGTGGAGTAGACAAGAAACTCTTTTTTGGAATCTCTTCCACGCTTTTCATTTCTTTTCGTCTATTTTCTTTCTTTATTTTTTATTATTTTGTGTTCGTTTTATCACCGCTGCATTGTTGGATTATTGATGGGATTTGCATCAGGCAGAGGATGAAGATATCTACCTACCAAGGACTATTGGTAAGGGAACTTAAGGATCCGGACTGTGAAGGCGAGGGCGTTGCCACATGGCAATATGGCCATCATGGACGCATATGTGTCACCAAGAGTGTGCCACAAGTGTGTGTGGTGGATGAAGGAGATGTCGAAGGGTTGAAGGAGGAAGGACATCCGTGCCTTCCACCTTTAGGTTTTATTTGCTGGCACTTTTGTGATACTCTCTACCATCTTTTGTCCTTCTTTGGGAGAATAATAAAGAAGGT